ACAAGGATGATCTGATGCAGATGTAAAGGCAAGGATTGGCAAGGTAATGGCAGTATTCCTACAATTGAAGAACATATGGGACTCAAAACAACTGTCAATAAATATCAAAGTCAGAACCTTCAATTCTAACGTCAAGACAGTTCTACTGTATGGAGCTGAAACTTGGAGAACTATCACAGCCACCATCAAGAAGGTACAAGTATTTATCAATAGCTGTCTACGCAAGATACTCTGTCTGTTAATCGGATACCATCAGCAACAGCATACTGTGAGAGAGAACAAACCAACTTCCATCTGAAGAGGAAATTAGGAAAAGACGTTGGAAGTGGATAGGATATACACTACGAAAATCATCACACCACTGGAACATGATCCCGATTCAAAGTGATTGCAAACACACTGCCTCCAGGAAGGATCGAACTCCTGACCTCTGGTTTACTAGGACAGTACTCTATCCACTGAGCTATGGAGGCGCATCATCATCATCAGCCCACAAATGCCCTGGTATGGCCGAGAGTAGGGTAGGCCCGCACGCCCTCTCGTATACAGCCTCTGCCAGGGAAGTCCTACTCACTGCCTTCTCGCACTATGGGTGTTGTTTACGAAAATGAGAGGACGAAAAGCGAACGTCTGGCGCTTTAACCAGACCCCAAACCAATGGTGCACATGGGCTCCAGTATCCTGAGGGAAAAAATGGCGTACGAACCAATTTCTTGGTCACCGGCTACCACGGGACTGCATCTCCTCACGGTGCTTCACTGCCTTGTGAATCAGACCCTTAGGTCAAAGGCCCGGGGTGTGGCCCCCTAAGAAAACCACCTGTTTCGGTCTGGGCACCCGGGCAGTATCACAACCCACACACAAATAAAATGAAAATGACGATATTTACTGAAAATTCTATTCACGCTTTGATTAATAGTCGAACAATTCACATTATTATTATTATTATTATTATTATTATTATTATTTATTACGTCATTGATCCACTCTCTTTTATACCCACTTTATGTATCCTTATTTTTCGACCTATACAGCAGCTCGCCTATGGTGGAAACTCGGTTCTATCTAAACGTTCTCGAGTCACTGCCTGTATGCTACCACCAAATACGAATACTGAAGCAGTTTTTCTGAAACCACGTGCACCATTCAAACTGGCTGCCTTCAACATTCGCACACTTATGCAGGTCGGACAACAGATAGAGCTGGTTGTGTCTTTGGAAAGTCTTAATATTGGCGTGTGTTGTCTATCCGAGACCCGTATTCAAGACTCTGGTGAAGTACTACATATTCGCTCTCCATCTGTCACTTCAAAAAGCTTGTTTTACGTGCGTTTATCCGGGAACTCTGTGGCATCTTCGTCTGGTCTTGCTGGCGTTGGTGTCACACTAGGCGTTAGAGCTGAGGCGGCACTAATCGATTGGATCCCCATTAACAGTCGATTATGTGCTGTTAGATTAGAAAGTTCCATCAAAGTGAGAAGAAATCGGCGTGAGAAACGATGTCTTTTCGTCATCTCCGCCTACGCCCCGACAGATTGCAGCCCGGATGCAATCAAGGATAAATTCTACCACCAGCTAACTGTTCTTCTCCAAAAAGTGCGTTCGACAGATATTTTAGTACTAGCTGGAGAGTTGAATGCTCAGGTCGGGCGTCTAGGCAGAGAAAAGAGTCGTTTAGGTGGCCGATGGGGACTTGTTGGTCGCAGGACAGATAACGGGGAACGTCTACTGCAACTATGCACAGACCACAACCTGTTTCTGGCTAGCACTGACTTTCGGCACAGTCATCGCCGTTTTCCACCTGGCGTCCTTCCTCTGCATCTCAAGCCTGGACTCAGATTGATCACATCGCGATCAGCTACCGCTCGCGTGGTTGTATACAAGACTGCCACTCCTTTTGGAGTACCTATCTGGACTCTGATCATGCCCTGGTCTGAGCCAATCTTACCTTACTTTTCAGTGGCTAACGAAGTGACCACCACCAAGGGATTGATGTTAGCAAGTTGGTTGCAACTTCTGTTACCAGTAAGTATCGAACTGAGCTAGCTTCTAGGCTAGCTACCATTCCACCGAAAAGTATAGATGAGTATTGGTTGCAACTTCATGACGCCATGAAAATGGTGAGTAAAGTCGCTTGCGGCTTCGCGAAACATCCCGCTTATGAGCACTGGGTTTCTTAAGGCTCCGTACAACTCTTCGACGCCCGTTGGTCTACTCCGGGTGACCGTGAGTTTGACCACAGACGAAGGATGTTGCGTAATGAGATCGGGCAAAGCTTGCGTGAGGACCGAGAAGCCTGGTGGTCGGAGCGTGCTAATGAGCTGGAAGCAGCAGCTGCATCTGGTAATTACCGGAAGCTCTTCCAACTCATCCGAGCCACTGACAGCAAGAAGTCTGGTGTGAGCGAAACAATTTGCGAGGATGACGGAACGCCAATCACTAACATCCATCGACGTCTTGGACGATGGGCAGAATTTTTCGAAGGGCAGTTCAACTGGCCTGCTGCTCCAGCAACGTCGGTCAGACTGTACTGCCCTCCATGGCCGGTGATGACTGATCCACCAAATGAGGCGGAAGTCCGCAAGGAACTCCAACTCTTGAAACGTTACAAATCACCAGGCCCAGATGACTTACCTCCGGCTCTTTTTAAAGATGGTGGTGACTTTCTGACCAAGGGACTGATGACGTTGTTTGCAAAGGTCTGGGAACTAGAGAGTGTACCAACGTCATGGAATGAGACGATAGTTGTCCCTATCTTTAAAAAGGGTTCACGTTGTTCCTGTAACAACTATCAGGGGATAAGTCTGCTTCCGATTGCGTCCAAGATATTGGCTTCCGTCATACTTCGTAGGTTGTTCAAAACCCTAGAAAGATTGACTCACGAGGAGCAGGCTGGGTTTCGTTCTGGTCAAGGATGTATTGATCATATCTTCACCCTCCGCCAAATGTTAGGACACCGTCATACTTATCAAAGGCCAACAATCGTAGTGTTTCTTGATATCAGGGCTGCCTCCGATTCGTTGGACAGGACTGTTCTCTGGGATTGTCTATTGAAGAAGAGTGTGCCTGAGAAGTTTATTAACATCTTAAAGGCCCTATACACAAACACCTCAGATAGAGTGAGGGCATACAACCACCTTTCTCCATCGTTCCATTCAAGCAGTGAGGTTAGGCAGGGTTGCCCAATCTCACCATTCCTCTTCAACTTTGCCGTCAATGACATCCTGGAAACAGCTCTGGTGGATGTAAATAACTGCGGTGTGGATATGTTGCCTGGAGAAAGACTTCTCGACCTAGAGTATGCGGATGATATTGTCTTACTGTGCGAGAATTCCCATGCCATGCAATCCGCACTTAATCAGTTGGCAATCAATGTCCGTAGGTATGGTATGTGCTTTACACCTTCGAAGTGCAAAGTATTTCTACAAGACTGGCAGGATTCTAATCCTGTACTCACCCTAGAAGGTGAGCAGATAGGAATAGTCGAGAAGTTCGTATATCTAGGTAGCTGCATAAGTGCTGGTGGTGGTGGTGTGAGTGACGAGATCAATGCTGCACGTATAGTGAAAGCCACAGTGACTTATGCCAATCTGGGCCATCTTTGGCGCCTTCGTGATGTTAGTCTGGCTGTAAAAGGTTGGATCTACAACGTGTCGGTGAGAGTAGTTTTGCTCTGTGCTTGTAAAACCTGACCTCTCCGAGTTGAAGATGTTAGACGACTCTGTGTTTCATCATCGTTGTCTCCGAAGGATCGCTGACATCCGTTGGCAACACCATGTCAGTAATGCAGAGGTTCGGCATCGTATGTTCGGGCACAGAGACGATAATCCAATTGGTGTCACCATCTTGCAATACCAACTTCGGTGGATTGAACTTGTTTTACGAATGTCGTCCCAGAGAATTCCACGTCGTGCATGATTTGCGGATGCCGGGACTTGTTGGGAAAAGCGGAGAGGTGGTCAGTGTATGACATGGTGTCGGCGTATGAAAGAATGCTGCAAAGGGCTGGGTTGTGTTGGTCCTTCACGACTCCCTGGCTGGGGTCCGAGAGATGGTGCGACACACTGGCTAGAAACGTTATAAAATATGGCTCGGAATAGAAACCAGTAGCAATCCTGCTGTTACCTTCTTCTACTTTCTTCATAAAACGTGGTTGTATCTTCCTTAACTGAAAGGATTCTTTTGGTTGTACCTTTCCGTTTCCCCGATTATTATTATTATTACACTACCTTACACCAATCTGGTCATTATTGTTCTTCCTTTATTTTTGTTTTACGCTCCTTACCTTCTTTTTTCTCTTCCTATTCTCATTGATTTGTGTGGCGCATATATATTTGGTGCCCTCTTGTACCAATATTTATGTGATCAAATAAATAAATAAACGAAAATCATCAAACTGTATCACGAGGCAGGCGCTAACTTGGAATCCTGCGAAGATGGAAAGAGGAAGGTCGAAGAACACACTATGTCGTCAATTGGAAGCAGACATGAAAAGCATGAAGAGCAACGGGAAGAGATTGCCCAGGACAGGGCAGGATGGAGAGTGCTAGTAGGCAGTCTATGTTTCTCCACGAAGGGTAACAGGCGTGAGTAAGTAAGTAAAAAAGGCCTTGAGTATCTTGATTTTAGAGATAATGGTAGTTTTATTCTATCGATGTTCTGTTATTTGAAATCAAATCCACAAGTATTGAAAACAAAGGTGGGGTGGTCGAATACACATTTAAACAAAAGAAATGGCTAAAGTAGAAGAAATCAGCACATCCCATTCAATCCATGGTCTCTCATGAATTCGGAAATCCCATGAGAAAACTCCTGACAAAGACGAATTTTCGAATACATTGGAAGTTGCTAGTTAGCAGTGAAAAAGTGACGCAGAGATGAGAGATTTCCTGAAACGAACTATGGACAACTAGTGTAAAACATCAAGTTATACTATAATTAAATCATTGAAGGATTCAACATGCGAAAAGATACATAGATACAATTAATGAGTTTAATTACTTTATACTTAATGCTGGATCCTGACCGGTTTCTGTTGCTTTAGAGTTTAGCAACAATTCAAGAATTGTTTGAGCCCAATAAGAACGATAAGATAATAGACCCAAATCACTTAGCGGTTTTTCAGGTGAACCAGATTTACCTTCAATTTTGCTCAATTCATAGCCTGAATAAGAAAAATAGTAACACAAAATATTCGGTTAATTAGTTTTTGAAGAAAAGAAACGCATGCTGTAACAATGCCAGCAATTACAACTACAACTTTAACTGATGTCAAACAAATAGTCTACCCATGAAAGTGATCACTCCAACATCAATGTACCAACATTACCATAAATTACCATGATGATTAGATTAAAACCTAGGGATCATGATTAGTTTTTTGCCTCATTTACTGAACATTGAGAAAAATCTGTCAGAAAATAGTGTCCAAACGAACGGGGTAATAACCGTTGAGAAAGAAACACAAGACATATAAAATGCATCACTTTGCTTCAATAAGATAACGCCAGCTAGACCAGCACTGAAATGTTGTGAAGATAAAAGTGGTTTGATCAATGTTGAGGTGGAGTATGAGAAAGAGACAAGTAAGACTAATTTCTGGACAAACCAATGAGATTTAAGATAGCGATTCTTGGATCTTGGTGCAAAATATATTCATCCATATGGTTAAGTAGCACTGTGGCATTAGAACTGATGTCAATTCATGGTGAAAACACTAACTCTAATTACTAACCCTTACGTTTAACTTTAAATTCTAATACTAGTTACACGCACTAATTCACAAGCCTTTATTAACTCTAGTGAGAAGCTGAATATTCTCAAAGTTACTTTAGCATCGCATCAAGGTCGTCCATAAATTATGATCTCATCTGTATTACTGAGAGGTAAATGAACGAGCCAGTGAAGACTTGATACGCTATCGGATAACATAGTTTGAAGATAGACTACACATACGGTTATAAACTACTTCAAGATTTTTAATTTAAGCACTGGTGTGTTCGCATTATACGGATTAGCGACTGAGCATCGAACTAAGTAGTAAAAGGGTCTCGGCTTTACCTAATTTTGAGAATAATCCTCACCTTCATACGACATACAAACCTAAACTGTATGAAGGATTGTGTAAATCTAGACAAAATATACTTATGCCAAACTCCTCAACAATGAAATAACTATCTGATAATCGATATTGTACAGTACTTAGTGTCGGAGCCAATGACGTTCTTTTCACATTATACCGGTATGGTCAGATTTTGGTAGACATGGAAGTGTAAAGATGGTTGTATGCATGGATTTCATTACCTCAGATACACTCACGCATTTTTCAAGCTCACATCTTGTTGACAAATATGAATTATTGTATCCAGCCCCTAAATGCCCTGCTACGGCTGAGGATGGGGAGTCAGATCTCCCTCTCCAAGTGCTCTCACATAAACACGCGTATACAGCTACTGCCGAGGAAGTCCTACTCACTGTCTTTTCTGTCTATAGTGATGAACCAATCGAGCTATTTGCAATTATAGATACCCAACCGTTAACGCTACCATACCTTAACGTGGTGGCCACGCTTGTCTATGGTGATCAACCATTCGGGCTATACTGGCTAGAACAATCGTTCCTCAACGTCCTACCATGCCAGGCAGGTCGGTTGAAGAATGGTAAAACTAAAAGCAACAAACCCTAAGTCTGAAGGCGAAGTCGAACTGCTGACTGTACAGAGCTGTGACGGCAGTAAGGTGTTTCCTTCATAACAGTGATGCTACCTTCCCACAAGGAGGAGTGGGGTTAGAAAAGGTCGATCCTGAAAATGCACACCTCGCCTTATCCCACGGATATCCGTCTCTGGCGGTAAGGTCTCAACAAGTACGGAGCTAACACGAAAAGTAACCACAAAAATGTCGCGTGTGACCGGGCAGTTGTCCCTTGGACACTGTGGTCACGCTCTTAGGTCACTAAGACGACTTGCAATACTGACTAGTGTAGGGGATGGTTGGAAGTAAGTTAGGGGCGGCCAAACCAAAATGTGGCATCAGTGCTTGAAGTCACTAACATCTGGTCTGATCCGTGTTGGTAGATGCAGACTACTTGGTTGGGATCGGTGTGACTATCGTAACCAATGGTTGGAGACTCTTAGTGACATGGTTCAGAATCGACTACAATGACATCGGCGTATACACTCTCTGTCTTCCTTTAAACTGTGAGATTAAGATCGCTTTATATCTTTCTTTCTACTAACTAATTTCTTCTTCCTGTGCTTTACCCTTATATACAACCTTTCTTTTATATATTACCACCACTGAATTAACCACTTCTATGAATCCAGTGTTCATCTTGTTGTGCTAATGATGTATGGCAACTTGAACCGATGCACATATTTTCCTGGTCCTATGTTGTAGGTGACTGACTGCGGTGTTGTTAATGAAACCAAGGACAAAAAGAGATCGCCGACGCTTTAACCGGGTCGGCGAGCACGGAGGATCCACCTAGGGGAGTTGGAAAACCGTGATTCCGAACCAATGTTGTGCATAGGCTCCAGGATCCTGAGAGAACAAGTGGCGCGTGAAACTATTGTTGGTCACCAAATACCATGGGACTGCATCTCCTTACGTTGCTCCACTGCCTTGTGGGTTAGACCTTTAGGTCAAATGCTCCGGGTGTGGCCCCCTAAGAAAACCACCTGCTTCGGATTGGACACCCGGACAGTATCATAGCCCACATACAAGTCGAGTGGTTCGTGTGGAGCATATTTATTTGGTGACTTTTTGTACCAACATTTATATTGAAATAAATAATAAATAAAAGCCCTCTGGAGATTGATAAATTATATAGGAATCCAGCCAATCGAACCAAATTGCGAAAACATAATCTTATAGACCGAAGACACTGATAAGACAATCTTTTAGACAATTAGAGAATAAAGGTAAGTGAAGTGATCCATTAGGATGTTCATCTTAAAAGCAGAATTGAATTAATTAAATCGAGCACTACACTAACTTTTGGAGTTAAATATATTAGGCATCAGTAAATACAAACAATGGTGAGTACGTAAGTTTAATTACTAAATACAGAGTCTGGTGTATTTATCATAAGACATTCTTCCGAGTTGTAAAAGGCTAAGGTATTAGTCACACTAACTGAACCAACAAAATGCAAAATAAATACTAATAAATAAGCTTTGTGTGTGTAACACCTAAATCTTATCAGTGCTACTGATAAATCTGTTAACTGAACGTTTGACCCCATTTTCTAGCCACTCCTAATAACCCCAGACTAAATCTACGATTTGAACACAAGAAAAAAGGAGAGTGCAAAACTAGAGTGGTGACAAGGACTTATCAAAATGGTTTATTCACAGTTACATTAACGGTCAGATTGGTCAAAATTGAATTGAGTCGTAATTAACAATAGTAATTCAATAGCTTACAGTATGAACACATATTTACAATGCTTTACAACTAAGCGTCTACAAGATGTGATGAATACATGTCACAAACGATTAGAAAAAGGAATCAATTTCATGTGTCATTCTCATCTCAATTGGTTAAGCTATGGCGCGTCACATCTGGAGACCGATTTTTGATAGACCTGTGGTATGGTGATACCATATAACTATGGTATCTCCTAATTCCCCAAAAACTGAGCTACTTAGGGATACACTGAGCACAAGTTTTTGGGTTTAGTGAGGTGAAATGATAAGCCACCCAGGTTTAACTTCAATTAAAATATAGACTACTGCTGGCCACAGAAAATACTAATTTCTAAATACCTGGTCAATAATTTAAACAATGATCATTGTTTATCAACATTAGTTCTTCACTTTCCAGGCTTTTTTAAGAAGAAAGCATAAATTTCGATAGAACAATGAGAAGACGGAGTTGATCTGAAAAATGTGATGTATTTGCGCTATACATTTCGAACAAGACCTCTTGTTTATTCGGTCCCAAAGAAAAAAGTTTACATCAATCTACCATATAGAGGTGAATCTAATAGCATAGTTTTAAGACAGATTGAAAGCAGCGATCGAGAACACCTATTATGCTGCTCAATTGATTGTGATTGAAAAGTCCAAGACCATGATTCCTAGTAGACCCAGACAATGCACCAATGATTACGTCACATCCCATTGTATTTACCAATTTACATGTTTGTGTGGACACATACATAGGGAGGAGTAATCGAACAATGCAATCAAGGGTCAATGAACATGTGCCTAAATGGCTTCAAAATCAATGTGTGTCAAATGATCCGATCAACGTGGGTGGTAGAAAACCAGGGTCATCGATAGCGAAACATATAATTGAAACGGGGCACAAGATTGATATTAATCCAGCTTTTAAAACGTTGTATAGAAATTGTCAAGGACGAATTCTTAAGTTTATAGAAGCCTTGGCTATTCGTAAATGTAAGCCCCCTTTATGTGTACAAAAACAATTTGTCGTAACCTTGAAGTTACCTTGGTAATCCTTGAGTCATTCTATGGCCTAGGATAATGCGACAATTTCTTATCCTTTCTCTCCCCTTTGTTATTTTTGTTTGTACTTTAACTTTCATGTAATTGACCTTTATTAATTTTCATATAAAATGCCCTGACAAGTATATGTGTGACCAGATTGTTCGAAATGTATAGCGCAAATACATCACATTTTTCAGATCAACTCCGTCTTCTCATTGTTCTATCAAAATTTATAAAAGGGACTAATTGCTTTAAATTCTTAAAAAAGCATAAGTTGCAAAATGCTGGATTTTTGCGCAACTTACTAAATTCAATCAAATATTTTCCATAACCTTTTCGTTGAAAAGGTGGCAGTACTAAGATGCATGCCACATTGTAATCTTCAGAAGATTCTTTTTCTTTTGAGAAATATCCAACTAGATGGTAACCACGTGAGTCTATTTCGCAAAGAACGTAAAATAAGAATGGATCTGTATCGTAATACAAGGTTTTGTGATCCAAGAACAGTTTCGCAAGTAGACAAAGGTGTTGCGCGTAAGTCTGAAGATAATTATTTTAGTTGAGTGAACCCACTTTATTTTTACGTCCATCGATCTCGAAAAAACTGTGAGGCAATTTGCGGTAAACCTCGTTTCCAGGAGGATTTCTTAGTGTACATTTAGCCTAAAAGTAATGAAAAATGATAATAATTCAAACCAGGTGTCTGCGCAGACATGTGAAACTCTTCAAATACTTCAAACAGAATTCGCATATATATACACACGGAACACTTGCTAATTCCTGCGGATATGGGGAAAAGTACCATGGTTTAATTCGATATCTTCCTAATTCAATCCATTCCAGATTTCTCATTCTCGTAACAGTATCTTGTTCATGGTGGCTAGAAACCATACTGCCTGTTTGCCTGGGTTTTCCAGCAGACGTTGGAGAGTCATCGAACACAAGATCGTTCACGTCGTTTTGTAGTGTTAAATGTATAGGTCCTTCATAGATATCGTCAGGTGGTCGTTTCCTTTTGAGTTGAGTCAAACTAGAGGAGCTGGAGCTACGACATTTCAGAGGAGGGTTCTAAAAAACGAATTAATCTCTGATGAAAGCACAAACCAGATCCGAATCTGACGTTCGGAGCTCTGCTGAACTAATAACTTCATCCTCGGTGGAAGATAAGCTGAAAACAGGAGTGACAGGTTCTTTTGTCGATTTCTTTAATGGTCGTTCTATTTTAGAAAAGTCGAGGCGATCTGCACTAACCCATTCATCCAGTCGTTTATTATCTTGTAAAAGAAAATAAAGAAATCATAATGGCTTACAGTCATCATAGTGGACGTAATAGTATGTACAATCACCTACATCACGGGTACCCAAAATCTCGGCATTATCTAGTAATGTTATTTACACTCAAAAATGTGTTACGGAAGAAGTCAGAGTCCGGTAGTTTTACCGGTAGTTTACAACCCTCAATATTCTTTTTTGAGTTTGAAACGACCATAGTTAAAAAGAATGGTCAAACAAACAAAGCAACATCAGCTCGACACATGTACCGCAATATATATAATTCCCGCCCCCTGTTAGTCCTCAGCACTAAGTGCAATAGGTCGGTTAAATTGTGTAATCCATATGTGAATACGGGCTTGTCAAGTCTCATCCTAAGGATATCCACTGATGGGGCTGTAGTCACTTTGGCTGGGAAAGCAGTCAGAATGTAAGCAACTCAATGTGGAAGAATGAGAACGTATCTAGGTGTTTGCTCTTTGGTGTGCAGTCTCCGAGGGTTAACTCGAGGGGGGTAGTGATAATGTTCTAATAAAATGTTCGGGTTGAGGCGGCTTGACGTACTTAATATTTTGTATTCCAATATCAGATCACCGCTTATTGAACTGTAGCTCAACGAGAATAATCCGAGGTGTGGGAGTCTGTCCCTGTAAGATTTATGTTTAAGACTTGTCACCTACCTGATTCCCTAGTTTCGTGTTTGGTTCAAGGAGTTTATATCTCTTTTGAAGAGAGGAGGTGAAACGTCATTGTGGACTTCAAGGTAAGGACTTGCGTATGTTTTAAAAACGCTGGTGTGATTGTGCCAAGTTACATACGCATAAAGCGGAAAGTTGAGTTAGCTCTGGACTCATTCCCTTTTCACTTTCACCTAGCGCTCACTTTCTGTAGCTAATAGTCCAAGATTGTGTTCCTAGGAGACAATGAAGAGTGGATTTTCATAAAGAACATAAGTTCACTTCAAATGGGGCTGGGTGTTTATGAAATGATATTTTAAAGGATTAAGTTTTAACCTACTGTTGACTGCCCATTCTTCCAAAGTCGTGAGTTCCCTTTGAAGCTTAAATGAATCCTCCTAGCTTTTTACAGATCTCTATAACTTCATATCGTCCACGCTTAGCCAATTTCATCTAACAGGTAGTTAATAAATATCAAGACCAGTAGTGGACTTAATATTGTCCCCTGTGTAACTCCTGATGTTGAAACCCTCCAGCTTGTGTGCACTCTATATACCCCGGCTCAAAACAATCTGTTCTCTAGGTAGCTTTGGAACCAAGATAGAGGTGGATCAATGTAAACCATCTCTTAAACTTAATGAGAATTACGTGCGCTTCTATGTTAAAGTACATGAACCGATATTACTTAATCCTAGCATAACATCCAACTGTCCCATTCTATGAAAAGACTGAACTCATAAGACCTGTCTTTACTAAAACTAAACAGTCGTCCCATTACCTTCGACATTATTAAGTGTAATGCTATTTGTCTGTAACAGACCAAACCTTTTCTATCTCACTCTTTGAAGATTTGAATGAGTAGCCTATTTCCAGTCTCTCAGAAGTTACCGTGAGTCTGGTTAGTGCTTAAATGAGTCACGCACCGGTGTGGTGGTGGCTTCCGCGCATTGTTTCAGGATTGTGGATAGGATTTTGTCGCATTCTAGTGACCCGAAGTTAATCAGATATTACCAAGGCCATTAGTTGATACAAGAGTCAAGGAGTGTTCAGTTCTTCCAGATTCCTGTTTTAACTGGCCTACAAGCATTTCATATAGTTTCCACATAGTTGGAGAGTTTTTACAAGAAATGGGTTTCTGAGTAAACATTGAATTCAGACGTCTAATCTTTTGGTTTATTAGATCGTTCAGCTTTCGAAATTCAGTGGAGTTTTTCTCCACGTACATTCTTTTATTCCCTTCGTTGTTGTTTTAATTGCAGGGATGTAATCCAGTCAAAAATTGCAAAAACAGTTGCTGTGGAACGGAAAACATCAAAACGAAATTCAAGATAACAAGTGGCAACATAAATGGCGTTTTCCAATGAGTCATCAGAAGTAAAACTCAGTTTGTTTTATAAGATACCTTTCCTAGATTTAACATATTTTCGTCTCAGTCATTCTCGTATTTAAATTTCTTTGTTCGATGTAAGAGCGTACTTTTTCCAAGCTAGCCACATTCTTTAGGTAGAATGCAAGTATCACAATGATCAGAACTAAAAAAAAGAGCACGTCCACAAGTTACATGTATTTGTAGAATTACGGTCTACAATGCTATTAGCACTGCTCTAATAATAGACATAATCCTTAAATTGTAGATTAGTCATGATGCAACTGCCTAATCTATAAGATCTTACATGGAATTCACATTATTATCTATACTACCTCATCGCATCGTAACAATTACCAAAACATGATGAAGAAGCATTTCAGGCTAGATATGGAACAAAATATTTCATTAGAATAAAATATATAAGATGAGATTGATCAGGGACCACGCCTGCGTGGCCGAGCCATGCCATCCGATCAACTCGGACTAATATGACAGGATAGCGCATAGTTTAAGACAGAATGTGTTAAGTGAAGGAGCACTAAGAATTAGATCCAGATAACCATTTAGTCCTTAGTTGCATGGTTAGTCAATGTATATTGAGGTTATTTGCAGATCATATTTGCTAGAGCTTGATGTTAAAACAAGTTAATTTCTCTGAAGCATCTAAATGCTACTAAAGCTTGTTAACGAACCATCAAAAGCCAATTAATTAATGTAAATGACCAGTTTTCATTATTGATTGAGCTAGTAAGTTATGAGAACTAATCAATATAACATTACGATGAAACATATGACCATTAATCAGAGGAGTGTTAGTTTAATGGTTTGGCAAAAGTAAATATCAATCGAGAAAATCAAAGTGAAAATGAGAAATAATAATAGGTTGCGTTTCTTTAGTCGGGCTTACCAATGTAGAATTACGGTCTACTATGCTATTAGCACTGCTCTAATAATAGACATAATCCTTAAATTGTAGATTAGTCATGATGCAACTGCCTAATCTATAAGATCTTACATGGAATTCACATTATTATCTATACTACCTCATCGCATCGTAACAATTACCAATACACGATGGAGAACAAGCTGAGGCTAGATATGGAACAATATATTTAATATGAATAAAAGATATAAGATAACATTCAGCGGGGACCACGCCTGCAAGGCCGAGCCATGCCATCCGATCAACTCGGACTAATTCAACTCATTCTCCCCGTCTTCTCCATTCTTCTGTATTTCTCCGCGTTAAATGTTTAATTTCTATTTCTCATATTGTCTCGTGGTAGGGCCCAATGCCACTACACTACTCTCCCACCAGAATCAACGTGACGTTTGTTCGATAGCAATTTTTGCGGGATTGTCGCGCGCCGGACGTTAGCAAGAAGAATAAGAATCATCCGGGTATTGATGAACTGAAAAATAAATCAAAAAGAAGGCGGCAGCATCTGGTCGGGAAACACACGTAATAATTTTAAAGTGTCTGGTTTAATGCTTAACACGCTTAAAATGAAAATTTGGGCGGAGATTATTTGAGCTAAACAAAGCGGGATTATAATTATAATGAAATGACTCCGTATAGGGATATTTTGATAAGTCGCCGTAAGGTACGTAGTAACAGCCGTAGGTTAATAACATTTCCTGTTTAGAAATATTAAAAACAATATTGTAGAAATGTTAAAACTGGTATTATATTTGGTCTAAATTATGAAATCAAATAACGTATGTGCCGGTAAGTTGTCCATGCATTGATTTCCAATTGCATCTGTATTAGTAGGCTAACTGAAATAACAAAAGTATAAGCGCGGAGAAGAATTCCAACTAGTGTTCCAGTTAGTTTGATATGGTTTATTTAGATATGGGGAGATTTTCTCGACCTTATTTTCACTTGATTATGATAGAATCTAGTGATACTACTAGTACATATAAATTGTTATCAAAAATGTTTAAATACGTGAAAAGTAATAATTATGTGGATTTTGGACAGATAGATAAGAGCGATTCGTTAAACATGAGTGTATTCGTAAGAGATATGCTCTAGAATCAATGTTCTGATTTGCCCTAGACTATTTATTTATATTCATACCTATCGGCTGATGGTACATACAAGTTAGTTGCAAGTGTCAGTTTAGTATGACGGAATGCTGTTTCATTGAGACATAGTGATTATAAGTAATTCAAATCAGTTAAGCCTATGTGCCACATTTCTAGGTGATGTGGTGCTGAAAGATGTATTCGTCTAAATAAGTTTTTGCAAGATGATTAACAGTGAGTGATGCTCATGTGATTACCAGAGAAAACATAAGTTGTAACCAAGGGGAGTACACTCCCAACTCATGTCTACGATAATGGCTTGAACCTTAGTCAGTGTTGGGGTAAATTCGACATTTATGTTTTTAGTTTGCAGGAGATTTGCTCGACTGCTTATACTGATGATTTGCATGCATGATAGTGTCGCTAAACCTCCAATTAGACTGACAAGATTTTGGGATATTTATTGAATGAGCAACTGATAGAGAAACATAGTGAAAATAATCTGTAATGGATGAAGATACCGAGAAAACAACACTATTTAATGATAATTACAAGTCGATTTGCTGACCGATTTTGTTAATAGTTTCATCAATTTTATCAATCATATTACGTGATTGTCAAATCATGACAATGCTTTATGACGATATCCTGAAACCATTACGTTAAACTAGTTATAGTGTTGATTGAGGAGTAGCCAGTTGAAAATAGGTATTGTTTTATGTGCTTCTAAAATAGAAGTTTGTAGCGTTAAAGAATCCGAGATGCCTAATTATATTATAAATCGCAATTTGAAAACACTCGTTTACATAGTGTTAATTTTAGTAGTAGGCTCAGGAGTTTTAATCCTAAATTTTTGTTTGGCCAACAACTACCTGACAGATCAGTTATTATACTAAGGCAGTATACTAGTACTCAAATTTTTAACTTTATTATCTAAACTATGTTCGTGTTTCTAGGTTACCAATATGATAGACCAATTCATAAACCCAAAACCGTATAGCATTAATGACTATGACGGGTTTATTAAAGATGTTACCAGCGATCCAAATGATTTTTTAATTTAAAAGACATAGAGACATGATGCAACGCATGTACGGGCCAGGTTAACATGCAAGTTGTTGAGGTATATGACAATTTAAAAATAATAAACATGTTCAGAAAAACAATTTTAAAGTTAAGGGTACTTATGAAATTTCAGGCAGGAATATGGCGCGTTATAAGCTTTCCATAAGAAGTTCATGCATTTAGCCTAGTGACACATATGTGTCAGAAGCAACTGGAAAAGATATACATGTTAAGTTCAAAACAATCGTCCAGTAAAAAAGTTAAACTCGCCTGGATTGTTTTTGAAAATTAGATCATTCAGTAGACGACATATGTAATGCCATTCGTGAGTAGTAATGATCCAAAAGCATCCAGAATAAAACATGCAGTATGGTAATTAATTCCAGGGTCCTTGGTGCCGCTGACGTTTTTGTCACTCGTTCGGATCGGAACAATTGAATGAATCCAGATAGTTGTGTGGTTGCCATTGAACAAGCCATCTAAAATGATGTATGTTTTTGTAGAAGTGTCATCCTTGTTGTTTGGCAATGGAACTCGTGAACTGGAAATTAGGCAGGCAGTGGTCCGAAGAAAAAATATGACAGGATAGCGCATAGTTTAAGACAGAATGTGTTAAGTGAAGGAGCACTAAGAATTAGATCCAGATAACCATTTAGTCCTTAGTTGCATGGTTAGTCAATGTATATTGAGGTTATTTGCAGATCATATTTGCTAGAGCTTGATGTTAAAACAAGTTAATTTCTCTGAAGCATCTAAATGCTACTAAAGCTTGTTAACGAACCATCAAAAGCCAATTAATTAATGTAAATGACCAGTTTTCATTATTGATTGAGCTAGTAAGTTATGAGAACTAATCAATATAACATTACGATGAAACATATGACCATTAATCAGAGGAGTGTTAGTTTAATGGTTTGGCAAAAGTAAATATCAATCGAGAAAATCAAAGTGAAAATGAGAAATAATAATAGGTTGCGTTTCTTTAGTCGGGCTTACCAATGTAGAATTACGGTCTACTATGCTATTAGCACTGCTCTAATAATAGACATAATCCTTAAATTGTAGATTAGTCATGATGCAACTGCCTAATCTATAAGATCTTACATGGAATTCACATTATTATCTACACTACCTCATCGCATCGTAACAATTACCAATACACGATGGAGAACAAGCTGAGGCTAGATATGGAACAATATATTTAATATGAATAAAAGATATAAGATAACATTCAGCGGGGACCACGCCTGCAAGGCCGAGCCATGCCATCCGATCAACTCGGACTAATTCAACTCATTCTCCCCGCCTTCTCCATTCTTCTGTATTTCTCCGCGTTAAATGTTTAATTTCTATTTCTCATATTGTCTCGTGGTAGGGCCCAATGCCACTACACTACACTAGCGAAACAGATAATTGAAACGGGGCACAAGATTGATATTAATCCAGCTTTTAAAACGTTGTATAGAAATTGTCAAGGACGAATTCTTAAGTTTATAGAAGCCTTGGCTATTCGTAAATGTAAGCCCCCTTTATGTGTACAAAAACAATTTGTCGTAACCTTGAAGTTACCTTGGTAATCCTTGAGTCATTCTATGGCCTAGGATAATGCGAAAATTTCTTATCCTTTCTCTCTCCTTTGTTATTTTTGTTTGTACTTTAACTTTCATGTAATTGACCTTTATTAATTTTCATATAAAATGCCCTGACAAGTATATGTGTGACCAGATTGTTCGAAATGTATAGCGCAAATACATCACATTTTTCAGATCAACTCCGTCTTCTCATTGTTCTATCAAAATTTATAAAAGGGACTAATTGCTTTAAATTCTTAAAAAAGCATAAGTTGCAAAATGCTGGATTTTTGCGCAACTTACTAAATTCAATCAAATATTTTCCATAACCTTTTCGTTGAAAAGGTGGCAGTACTAAGATGCATGCCACATTGTAATCTTCAGAAGATTCTTTTTCTTTTGAGAAATATCCAACTAGATGGTAACCACGTGAGTCTATTTCGCAAAGAACGTAAAATAAGAATGGATCTGTATCGTAATACAAGGTTTTGTGATCCAAGAACAGTTTCGCAAGTAGACAAAGGTGTTGCGCGTAAGTCTGAAGATAATTATTTTAGTTGAGTGAACCCACTTTATTTTTACGTCCATCGATCTCGAAAAAACTGTGAGGCAATTTGCGGTAAACCTCGTTTCCAGGAGGATTTCTTAGTGTACATTTAGCCTAAAAGTAATGAAAAATGATAATAATTCAAACCAGGTGTCTGCGCAGACATGTGAAACTCTTCAAATACTTCAAACAGAATTCGCATATATATACACACGGAACACTTGCTAATTCCTGCGGATATGGGGAAAAGTACCATGGTTTAATTCGATATCTTCCTAATTCAATCCATTCCAGATTTCTCATTCTCGTAACAGTATCTTGTTCATGGTGGCTAGAAACCATACTGCCTGTTTGCCTGGGTTTTCCAGCAGACGTTGGAGAGTCATCGAACACAAGATCGTTCACGTCGTTTTGTAGTGTTAAATGTATAGGTCCTTCATAGATATCGTCAGGTGGTCGTTTCCTTTTGAGTTGAGTCAAACTAGAGGAGCTGGAGCTACGACATTTCAGAGGAGGGTTCTAAAAAACGAATTAATCTCTGATGAAAGCACAAACCAGATCCGAATCTGACGTTCGGAGCTCTGCTGAACTAATAACTTCATCCTCGGTGGAAGATAAGCTGAAAACAGGAGTGACAGGTTCTTTTGTCGATTTCTTTAATGGTCGTTCTATTTTAGAAAAGTCGAGGCGATCTGCACTAACCCATTCATCCAGTCGTTTATTATCTTGTAAAAGAAAATAAAGAAATCATAATGGCTTACAGTCATCATAGTGGACGTAATAGTATGTACAATCACCTACATCACGGGTACCCAAAATCTCGGCATTATCTAGTAATGTTATTTACACTCAAAAATGTGTTACGGAAGAAGTCAGAGTCCGGTAGTTTTACCGGTAGTTTACAACCCTCAATATTCTTTTTTGAGTTTGAAACGACCATAGTTAAAAAGAATGGTCAAACAAACAAAGCAACATCAGCTCGACACATGTACCGCAATATATATAATTCCCGCCCCCTGTTAGTCCTCAGCACTAAGTGCAATAGGTCGGTTAAATTGTGTAATCCATATGTGAATACGGGCTTGTCAAGTCTCATCCTAAGGATATCCACTGATGGGGCTGTAGTCACTTTGGCTGGGAAAGCAGTCAGAATGTAAGCAACTCAATGTGGAAGAATGAGAACGTATCTAGGTGTTTGCTCTTTGGTGTGCAGTCTCCGAGGGTTAACTCGAGGGGGGTAGTGATAATGTTCTAATAAAATGTTCGGGTTGAGGCGGCTTGACGTACTTAATATTTTGTATTCCAATATCAGATCACCGCTTATTGAACTGTAGCTCAACGAGAATAATCCGAGGTGTGGGAGTCTGTCCCTGTAAGATTTATGTTTAAGACTTGTCACCTACCTGATTCCCTAGTTTCGTGTTTGGTTCAAGGAGTTTATATCTCTTTTGAAGAGAGGAGGTGAAACGTCATTGTGGACTTCAAGGTAAGGACTTGCGTATGTTTTAAAAACGCTGGTGTGATTGTGCCAAGTTACATACGCATAAAGCGGAAAGTTGAGTTAGCTCTGGACTCATTCCCTTTTCACTTTCACCTAGCGCTCACTTTCTGTAGCTAATAGTCCAAGATTGTGTTCCTAGGAGACAATGAAGAGTGGATTTTCATAAAGAACATAAGTTCACTTCAAATGGGGCTGGGTGTTTATGAAATGATATTTTAAAGGATTAAGTTTTAACCTACTGTTGACTGCCCATTCTTCCAAAGTCGTGAGTTCCCTTTGAAGCTTAAATGAATCCTCCTAGCTTTTTACAGATCTCTATAACTTCATATCGTCCACGCTTAGCCAATTTCATCTAACAGGTAGTTAATAAATATCAAGACCAGTAGTGGACTTAATATTGTCCCCTGTGTAACTCCTGATGTTGAAACCCTCCAGCTTGTGTGCACTCTATATACCCCGGCTCAAAACAATCTGTTCTCTAGGTAGCTTTGGAACCAAGATAGAGGTGGATCAATGTAAACCATCTCTTAAACTTAATGAGAATTACGTGCGCTTCTATGTTAAAGTACATGAACCGATATTACTTAATCCTAGCATAACATCCAACTGTCCCATTCTATGAAAAGACTGAACTCATAAGACCTGTCTTTACTAAAACTAAACAGTCGTCCCATTACCTTCGACATTATTAAGTGTAATGCTATTTGTCTGTAACAGACCAAACCTTTTCTATCTCACTCTTTGAAGATTTGAATGAGTAGCCTATTTCCAGTCTCTCAGAAGTTACCGTGAGTCTGGTTAGTGCTTAAATGAGTCACGCACCGGTGTGGTGGTGGCTTCCGCGCATTGTTTCAGGATTGTGGATAGGATTTTGTCGCATTCTAGTGACCCGAAGTTAATCAGATATTACCAAGGCCATTAGTTGATACAAGAGTCAAGGAGTGTTCAGTTCTTCCAGATTCCTGTTTTAACTGGCCTACAAGCATTTCATATAGTTTCCACATAGTTGGAGAGTTTTTACAAGAAATGGGTTTCTGAGTAAACATTGAATTCAGACGTCTAATCTTTTGGTTTATTAGATCGTTCAGCTTTCGAAATTCAGTGGAGTTTTTCTCCACGTACATTCTTTTATTCCCTTCGTTGTTGTTTTAATTGCAGGGATGTAATCCAGTCAAAAATTGCAAAAACAGTTGCTGTGGAACGGAAAACATCAAAACGAAATTCAAGATAACAAGTGGCAACATAAATGGCGTTTTCCAATGAGTCATCAGAAGTAAAACTCAGTTTGTTTTATAAGATACCTTTCCTAGATTTAACATATTTTCGTCTCAGTCATTCTCGTATTTAAATTTCTTTGTTCGATGTAAGAGCGTACTTTTTCCAAGCTAGCCACATTCTTTAGGTAGAATGCAAGTATCACAATGATCAGAACTAAAAAAAAGAGCACGTCCACAAGTTACATGTATTTGTAGAATTACGGTCTACAATGCTATTAGCACTGCTCTAATAATAGACATAATCCTTAAATTGTAGATTAGTCATGATGCAACTGCCTAATCTATAAGATCTTACATGGAATTCACATTATTATCTATACTACCTCATCGCATCGTAACAATTACCAATACACGATGGAGAACAAGCTGAGGCTAGATATGGAACAATATATTTAATATGAATAAAAGATATAAGATAACATTCAGCGGGGACCACGCCTGCAAGGCCGAGCCATGCCATCCGATCAACTCGGACTAATATGACAGGATAGCGCATAGTTTAAGACAGAATGTGTTAAGTGAAGGAGCACTAAGAATTAGATCCAGATAACCATTTAGTCCTTAGTTGCATGGTTAGTCAATGTATATTGAGGTTATTTGCAGATCATATTTGCTAGAGCTTGATGTTAAAACAAGTTAATTTCTCTGAAGCATCTAAATGCTACTAAAGCTTGTTAACGAACCATCAAAAGCCAATTAATTAATGTAAATGACCAGTTTTCATTATTGATTGAGCTAGTAAGTTATGAGAACTAATCAATATAACATTACGATGAAACATATGACCATTAATCAGAGGAGTGTTAGTTTAATGGTTTGGCAAAAGTAAATATCAATCGAGAAAATCAAAGTGAAAATGAGAAATAATAATAGGTTGCGTTTCTTTAGTCGGGCTTACCAATGTAGAATTACGGTCTACTATGCTATTAGCACTGCTCTAATAATAGACATAATCCTTAAATTGTAGATTAGTCATGATGCAACTGCCTAATCTATAAGATCTTACATGGAATTCACATTATTATCTACACTACCTCATCGCATCGTAACAATTACCAATACACGATGGAGAACAAGCTGAGGCTAGATATGGAACAATATATTTAATATGAATAAAAGATATAAGATAACATTCAGCGGGGACCACGCCTGCAAGGCCGAGCCATGCCATCCGATCAACTCGGACTAATTCAACTCATTCTCCCCGCCTTCTCCATTCTTCTGTACTTCTCCGCGTTAAATGTTTAATTTCTATTTCTCATATTGTCTCGTGGTAGGGCCCAATGCCACTACACTACTCTCCCACCAGAATCAACGTGACGTTTGTTCGATAGCAATTTTTGCGGGATTGTCGCGCGCCGGACGTTAGCAAGAAGAATAAGAATCATCCGGGTATTGATGAACTGAAAAATAAATCAAAAAGAAGGCGGCAGCATCTGGTCGGGAAACACACGTAATAATTTTAAAGTGTCTGGTTTAATGCTTAACACGCTTAAAATGAAAATTTGGGCGGAGATTATTTGAGCTAAACAAAGCGGGATTATAATTATAATGAAATGACTCCGTATAGGGATATTTTGATAAGTCGCCGTAAGGTACGTAGTAACAGCCGTAGGTTAATAACATTTCCTGTTTAGAAATATTAAAAACAATATTGTAGAAATGTTAAAACTGGTATTATATTTGGTCTAAATTATGAAATCAAATAACGTATGTGCCGGTAAGTTGTCCATGCATTGATTTCCAATTGCATCTGTATTAGTAGGCTAACTGAAATAACAAAAGTATAAGCGCGGAGAAGAATTCCAACTAGTGTTCCAGTTAGTTTGATATGGTTTATTTAGATATGGGGAGATTTTCTCGACCTTATTTTCACTTGATTATGATAGAATCTAGTGATACTACTAGTACATATAAATTGTTATCAAAAATGTTTAAATACGTGAAAAGTAATAATTATGTGGATTTTGGACAGATAGATAAGAGCGATTCGTTAAACATGAGTGTATTCGTAAGAGATATGCTCTAGAATCAATGTTCTGATTTGCCCTAGACTATTTATTTATATTCATACCTATCGGCTGATGGTACATACAAGTTAGTTGCAAGTGTCAGTTTAGTATGACGGAATGCTGTTTCATTGAGACATAGTGATTATAAGTAATTGAAATCAGTTAAGCCTATGTGCCACATTTCTAGGTGATGTGGTGCTTCACGATGTATTCGGCTAAATAAGTTTTTACAAGATGATTAACAGTGAGTGATGCTCATGTGATTACCAGGGAGAACATAAATTGTAACCAAGTGGAGTACACTCCCAACTCATGTCTATGATAATGGCTTGAACCTTAGTCAGTGTTGGGGTAAATTCGACATTTATGTTTTCAGTTTGCAGGAGATTTGCTCGACTGCTTATACTGATGATTTGCATGCATGATTGTGTCGCTAAACCTCCAATTAGACTGACAAGGTTTTGAGATACTTACTGAATGAGCAACTGATCGAGAAACATACTGAAAATAATCTGTAATGGATGAAGATACCGAGAAAACAACACTATTTAATGATAATTACAAGTCGATTTGCTGACCGATTTTGTTAATAGTTTCATCAATTTTATCAATCATATTACGTGATTGTCAAATCATGACAATGCTTTATGACGATATCCTGAAACCATTACGTTAAACTAGTTATAGTGTTGATTGAGGAGTAGCCAGTTGAAAATAGGTATTGTTTTATGTGCTTCTAAAATAGAAGTTTGTAGCGTTAAAGAATCCGAGATGCCTAATTATATTATAAATCGCAATTTGAAAACACTCGTTTACATAGTGTTAATTTTAGTAGTAGGCTCAGGAGTTTTAATCCTAAATTTTTGTTTGGCCAACAACTACCTGACAGATCAGTTATTATACTAAGGCAGTATACTAGTACTCAAATTTTTAACTTTATTATCTAAACTATGTTCGTGTTTCTAGGTTACCAATATGATAGACCAATTCATAAACCCAAAACCGTATAGCATTAATGACTATGACGGGTTTATTAAAGATGTTACCAGCGATCCAAATGATTTTTTAATTTAAAAGACATAGAGACATGATGCAACGCATGTACGGGCCAGGTTAACATGCAAGTTGTTGAGGTATATGACAATTTAAAAATAATAAACATGTTCAGAAAAACAATTTTAAAGTTAAGGGTACTTATGAAATTTCAGGCAGGAATATGGCGCGTTATAAGCTTTCCATAAGAAGTTCATGCATTTAGCCTAGTGACACATATGTGTCAGAAGCAACTGGAAAAGATATACATGTTAAGTTCAAAACAATCGTCCAGTAAAAAAGTTAAACTCGCCTGGATTGTTTTTGAAAATTAGATCATTCAGTAGACGACATATGTAATGCCATTCGTGAGTAGTAATGATCCAAAAGCATCCAGAATAAAACATGCAGTATGGTAATTAATTCCAGGGTCCTTGGTGCCGCTGACGTTTTTGTCACTCGTTCGGATCGGAACAATTGAATGAATCCAGATAGTTGTGTGGTTGCCATTGAACAAGCCATCTAAAATGATGTATGTTTTTGTAGAAGTGTCATCCTTGTTGTTTGGCAATGGAACTCGTGAACTGGAAATTAGGCAGGCAGTGGTCCGAAGAAAAAATATGACAGGATAGCGCATAGTTTAAGACAGAATGTGTTAAGTGAAGGAGCACTAAGAATTAGATCCAGATAACCATTTAGTCCTTAGTTGCATGGTTAGTCAATGTATATTGAGGTTATTTGCAGATCATATTTGCTAGAGCTTGATGTTAAAACAAGTTAATTTCTCTGAAGCATCTAAATGCTACTAAAGCTTGTTAACGAACCATCAAAAGCCAATTAATTAATGTAAATGACCAGTTTTCATTATTGATTGAGCTAGTAAGTTATGAGAACTAATCAATATAACATTACGATGAAACATATGACCATTAATCAGAGGAGTGTTAGTTTAATGGTTTGGCAAAAGTAAATATCAATCGAGAAAATCAAAGTGAAAATGAGAAATAATAATAGGTTGCGTTTCTTTAGTCGGGCTTACCAATGTAGAATTACGGTCTACTATGCTATTAGCACTGCTCTAATAATAGACATAATCCTTAAATTGTAGATTAGTCATGATGCAACTGCCTAATCTATAAGATCTTACATGGAATTCACATTATTATCTACACTACCTCATCGCATCGTAACAATTACCAATACACGATGGAGAACAAGCTGAGGCTAGATATGGAACAATATATTTAATATGAATAAAAGATATAAGATAACATTCAGCGGGGACCACGCCTGCAAGGCCGAGCCATGCCATCCGATCAACTCGGACTAATTCAACTCATTCTCCCCGTCTTCTCCATTCTTCTGTATTTCTCCGCGTTAAATGTTTAATTTCTATTTCTCATATTGTCTCGTGGTAGGGCCCAATGCCACTACACTACACTAGCGAAACAGATAATTGAAACGGGGCACAAGATTGATATTAATCCAGCTTTTAAAACGTTGTATAGAAATTGTCAAGGACGAATTCTTAAGTTTATAGAAGCCTTGGCTATTCGTAAATGTAAGCCCCCTTTATGTGTACAAAAACAATTTGTCGTAACCTTGAAGTTACCTTGGTAATCCTTGAGTCATTCTATGGCCTAGGATAATGCGAAAATTTCTTATCCTTTCTCTCTCCTTTGTTATTTTTGTTTGTACTTTAACTTTCATGTAATTGACCTTTATTAATTTTCATATAAAATGCCCTGACAAGTATATGTGTGACCAGATTGTTCGAAATGTATAGCGCAAATACATCACATTTTTCAGATCAACTCCGTCTTCTCATTGTTCTATCAAAATTTATAAAAGGGACTAATTGCTTTAAATTCTTAAAAAAGCATAAGTTGCAAAATGCTGGATTTTTGCGCAACTTACTAAATTCAATCAAATATTTTCCATAACCTTTTCGTTGAAAAGGTGGCAGTACTAAGATGCATGCCACATTGTAATCTTCAGAAGATTCTTTTTCTTTTGAGAAATATCCAACTAGATGGTAACCACGTGAGTCTATTTCGCAAAGAACGTAAAATAAGAATGGATCTGTATCGTAATACAAGGTTTTGTGATCCAAGAACAGTTTCGCAAGTAGACAAAGGTGTTGCGCGTAAGTCTGAAGATAATTATTTTAGTTGAGTGAACCCACTTTATTTTTACGTCCATCGATCTCGAAAAAACTGTGAGGCAATTTGCGGTAAACCTCGTTTCCAGGAGGATTTCTTAGTGTACATTTAGCCTAAAAGTAATGAAAAATGATAATAATTCAAACCAGGTGTCTGCGCAGACATGTGAAACTCTTCAAATACTTCAAACAGAATTCGCATATATATACACACGGAACACTTGCTAATTCCTGCGGATATGGGGAAAAGTACCATGGTTTAATTCGATATCTTCCTAATTCAATCCATTCCAGATTTCTCATTCTCGTAACAGTATCTTGTTCATGGTGGCTAGAAACCATACTGCCTGTTTGCCTGGGTTTTCCAGCAGACGTTGGAGAGTCATCGAACACAAGATCGTTCACGTCGTTTTGTAGTGTTAAATGTATAGGTCCTTCATAGATATCGTCAGGTGGTCGTTTCCTTTTGAGTTGAGTCAAACTAGAGGAGCTGGAGCTACGACATTTCAGAGGAGGGTTCTAAAAAACGAATTAATCTCTGATGAAAGCACAAACCAGATCCGAATCTGACGTTCGGAGCTCTGCTGAACTAATAACTTCATCCTCGGTGGAAGATAAGCTGAAAACAGGAGTGACAGGTTCTTTTGTCGATTTCTTTAATGGTCGTTCTATTTTAGAAAAGTCGAGGCGATCTGCACTAACCCATTCATCCAGTCGTTTATTATCTTGTAAAAGAAAATAAAGAAATCATAATGGCTTACAGTCATCATAGTGGACGTAATAGTATGTACAATCACCTACATCACGGGTACCCAAAATCTCGGCATTATCTAGTAATGTTATTTACACTCAAAAATGTGTTACGGAAGAAGTCAGAGTCCGGTAGTTTTACCGGTAGTTTACAACCCTCAATATTCTTTTTTGAGTTTGAAACGACCATAGTTAAAAAGAATGGTCAAACAAACAAAGCAACATCAGCTCGACACATGTACCGCAATATATATAATTCCCGCCCCCTGTTAGTCCTCAGCACTAAGTGCAATAGGTCGGTTAAATTGTGTAATCCATATGTGAATACGGGCTTGTCAAGTCTCATCCTAAGGATATCCACTGATGGGGCTGTAGTCACTTTGGCTGGGAAAGCAGTCAGAATGTAAGCAACTCAATGTGGAAGAATGAGAACGTATCTAGGTGTTTGCTCTTTGGTGTGCAGTCTCCGAGGGTTAACTCGAGGGGGGTAGTGATAATGTTCTAATAAAATGTTCGGGTTGAGGCGGCTTGACGTACTTAATATTTTGTATTCCAATATCAGATCACCGCTTATTGAACTGTAGCTCAACGAGAATAATCCGAGGTGTGGGAGTCTGTCCCTGTAAGATTTATGTTTAAGACTTGTCACCTACCTGATTCCCTAGTTTCGTGTTTGGTTCAAGGAGTTTATATCTCTTTTGAAGAGAGGAGGTGAAACGTCATTGTGGACTTCAAGGTAAGGACTTGCGTATGTTTTAAAAACGCTGGTGTGATTGTGCCAAGTTACATACGCATAAAGCGGAAAGTTGAGTTAGCTCTGGACTCATTCCCTTTTCACTTTCACCTAGCGCTCACTTTCTGTAGCTAATAGTCCAAGATTGTGTTCCTAGGAGACAATGAAGAGTGGATTTTCATAAAGAACATAAGTTCACTTCAAATGGGGCTGGGTGTTTATGAAATGATATTTTAAAGGATTAAGTTTTAACCTACTGTTGACTGCCCATTCTTCCAAAGTCGTGAGTTCCCTTTGAAGCTTAAATGAATCCTCCTAGCTTTTTACAGATCTCTATAACTTCATATCGTCCACGCTTAGCCAATTTCATCTAACAGGTAGTTAATAAATATCAAGACCAGTAGTGGACTTAATATTGTCCCCTGTGTAACTCCTGATGTTGAAACCCTCCAGCTTGTGTGCACTCTATATACCCCGGCTCAAAACAATCTGTTCTCTAGGTAGCTTTGGAACCAAGATAGAGGTGGATCAATGTAAACCATCTCTTAAACTTAATGAGAATTACGTGCGCTTCTATGTTAAAGTACATGAACCGATATTACTTAATCCTAGCATAACATCCAACTGTCCCATTCTATGAAAAGACTGAACTCATAAGACCTGTCTTTACTAAAACTAAACAGTCGTCCCATTACCTTCGACATTATTAAGTGTAATGCTATTTGTCTGTAACAGACCAAACCTTTTCTATCTCACTCTTTGAAGATTTGAATGAGTAGCCTATTTCCAGTCTCTCAGAAGTTACCGTGAGTCTGGTTAGTGCTTAAATGAGTCACGCACCGGTGTGGTGGTGGCTTCCGCGCATTGTTTCAGGATTGTGGATAGGATTTTGTCGCATTCTAGTGACCCGAAGTTAATCAGATATTACCAAGGCCATTAGTTGATACAAGAGTCAAGGAGTGTTCAGTTCTTCCAGATTCCTGTTTTAACTGGCCTACAAGCATTTCATATAGTTTCCACATAGTTGGAGAGTTTTTACAAGAAATGGGTTTCTGAGTAAACATTGAATTCAGACGTCTAATCTTTTGGTTTATTAGATCGTTCAGCTTTCGAAATTCAGTGGAGTTTTTCTCCACGTACATTCTTTTATTCCCTTCGTTGTTGTTTTAATTGCAGGGATGTAATCCAGTCAAAAATTGCAAAAACAGTTGCTGTGGAACGGAAAACATCAAAACGAAATTCAAGATAACAAGTGGCAACATAAATGGCGTTTTCCAATGAGTCATCAGAAGTAAAACTCAGTTTGTTTTATAAGATACCTTTCCTAGATTTAACATATTTTCGTCTCAGTCATTCTCGTATTTAAATTTCTTTGTTCGATGTAAGAGCGTACTTTTTCCAAGCTAGCCACATTCTTTAGGTAGAATGCAAGTATCACAATGATCAGAACTAAAAAAAAGAGCACGTCCACAAGTTACATGTATTTGTAGAATTACGGTCTACAATGCTATTAGCACTGCTCTAATAATAGACATAATCCTTAAATTGTAGATTAGTCATGATGCAACTGCCTAATCTATAAGATCTTACATGGAATTCACATTATTATCTATACTACCTCATCGCATCGTAACAATTACCAATACACGATGGAGAACAAGCTGAGGCTAGATATGGAACAATATATTTAATATGAATAAAAGATATAAGATAACATTCAGCGGGGACCACGCCTGCAAGGCCGAGCCATGCCATCCGATCAACTCGGACTAATATGACAGGATAGCGCATAGTTTAAGACAGAATGTGTTAAGTGAAGGAGCACTAAGAATTAGATCCAGATAACCATTTAGTCCTTAGTTGCATGGTTAGTCAATGTATATTGAGGTTATTTGCAGATCATATTTGCTAGAGCTTGATGTTAAAACAAGTTAATTTCTCTGAAGCATCTAAATGCTACTAAAGCTTGTTAACGAACCATCAAAAGCCAATTAATTAATGTAAATGACCAGTTTTCATTATTGATTGAGCTAGTAAGTTATGAGAACTAATCAATATAACATTACGATGAAACATATGACCATTAATCAGAGGAGTGTTAGTTTAATGGTTTGGCAAAAGTAAATATCAATCGAGAAAATCAAAGTGAAAATGAGAAATAATAATAGGTTGCGTTTCTTTAGTCGGGCTTACCAATGTAGAATTACGGTCTACTATGCTATTAGCACTGCTCTAATAATAGACATAATCCTTAAATTGTAGATTAGTCATGATGCAACTGCCTAATCTATAAGATCTTACATGGAATTCACATTATTATCTACACTACCTCATCGCATCGTAACAATTACCAATACACGATGGAGAACAAGCTGAGGCTAGATATGGAACAATATATTTAATATGAATAAAAGATATAAGATAACATTCAGCGGGGACCACGCCTGCAAGGCCGAGCCATGCCATCCGATCAACTCGGACTAATTCAACTCATTCTCCCCGTCTTCTCCATTCTTCTGTATTTCTCCGCGTTAAATGTTTAATTTCTATTTCTCATATTGTCTCGTGGTAGGGCCCAATGCCACTACACTACTCTCCCACCAGAATCAACGTGACGTTTGTTCGATAGCAATTTTTGCGGGATTGTCGCGCGCCGGACGTTAGCAAGAAGAATAAGAATCATCCGGGTATTGATGAACTGAAAAATAAATCAAAAAGAAGGCGGCAGCATCTGGTCGGGAAACACACGTAATAATTTTAAAGTGTCTGGTTTAATGCTTAACACGCTTAAAATGAAAATTTGGGCGGAGATTATTTGAGCTAAACAAAGCGGGATTATAATTATAATGAAATGACTCCGTATAGGGATATTTTGATAAGTCGCCGTAAGGTACGTAGTAACAGCCGTAGGTTAATAACATTTCCTGTTTAGAAATATTAAAAACAATATTGTAGAAATGTTAAAACTGGTATTATATTTGGTCTAAATTATGAAATCAAATAACGTATGTGCCGGTAAGTTGTCCATGCATTGATTTCCAATTGCATCTGTATTAGTAGGCTAACTGAAATAACAAAAGTATAAGCGCGGAGAAGAATTCCAACTAGTGTTCCAGTTAGTTTGATATGGTTTATTTAGATATGGGGAGATTTTCTCGACCTTATTTTCACTTGATTATGATAGAATCTAGTGATACTACTAGTACATATAAATTGTTATCAAAAATGTTTAAATACGTGAAAAGTAATAATTATGTGGATTTTGGACAGATAGATAAGAGCGATTCGTTAAACATGAGTGTATTCGTAAGAGATATGCTCTAGAATCAATGTTCTGATTTGCCCTAGACTATTTATTTATATTCATACCTATCGGCTGATGGTACATACAAGTTAGTTGCAAGTGTCAGTTTAGTATGACGGAATGCTGTTTCATTGAGACATAGTGATTATAAGTAATTAAAATCAGTTAAGCCTATGTGCCACATTTCTAGGTGATGTGGTGCTTCACGATGTATTCGGCTAAATAAGTTTTTACAAGATGATTAACAGTGAGTGATGCTCATGTGATTACCAGGGAGAACATAAATTGTAACCAAGTGGAGTACACTCCCAACTCATGTCTATGATAATGGCTTGAACCTTAGTCAGTGTTGGGGTAAATTCGACATTTATGTTTTCAGTTTGCAGGAGATTTGCTCGACTGCTTATACTGATGATTTGCATGCATGATTGTGTCGCTAAACCTCCAATTAGACTGACAAGGTTTTGAGATACTTACTGAATGAGCAACTGATCGAGAAACATACTGAAAATAATCTGTAATGGATGAAGATACCGAGAAAACAACACTATTTAATGATAATTACAAGTCGATTTGCTGACCGATTTTGTTAATAGTTTCATCAATTTTATCAATCATATTACGTGATTGTCAAATCATGACAATGCTTTATGACGATATCCTGAAACCATTACGTTAAACTAGTTATAGTGTTGATTGAGGAGTAGCCAGTTGAAAATAGGTATTGTTTTATGTGCTTCTAAAATAGAAGTTTGTAGCGTTAAAGAATCCGAGATGCCTAATTATATTATAAATCGCAATTTGAAAACACTCGTTTACATAGTGTTAATTTTAGTAGTAGGCTCAGGAGTTTTAATCCTAAATTTTTGTTTGGCCAACAACTACCTGACAGATCAGTTATTATACTAAGGCAGTATACTAGTACTCAAATTTTTAACTTTATTATCTAAACTATGTTCGTGTTTCTAGGTTACCAATATGATAGACCAATTCATAAACCCAAAACCGTATAGCATTAATGACTATGACGGGTTTATTAAAGATGTTACCAGCGATCCAAATGATTTTTTAATTTAAAAGACATAGAGACATGATGCAACGCATGTACGGGCCAGGTTAACATGCAAGTTGTTGAGGTATATGACAATTTAAA